ATATATATATATATATATATGAAAATTATATTTTATCACTTGCTCATTTGTGTTCTTACTTCAAGGCTATTAATATTTAATATGTGGAGCAATAAAAACAGTATGTGTGCTTAAACACACACATATATAGACTAAGGACAGTTAATGTATGAAGTGCTTAGTTTGATTCCTCCCAATAAGAAGGTCTAAATAAATGTTGGCTAAACTTTTTATAATTCTCACTAATATTCTTTCCCACAAGGTTCTTTACAGTGCCATGCCTCACAAGCTTTTGAGTTTAAAATACAGGATCCTCCCCTCCTTCCTTCCGTCTTTAGCATACACTTGGCCAAATCTTATTCTTACACAACTCTCCATAAATGGTTGTTGGGCACCTATGATTTTCCCACTGTTCAAACTAGTTTTTGAAAACCCTAAAATAGCCAATCCCGTTGGCTGCAAACACCACCAACAGCAAATGTGTAACAAGTAATGTCTTACCCCCATTTTTCCTGTCCGATTCTGTGTCCTGTTCCCCACTACCAATCAGAGATGCATTAGACTGCATATCTAACCATAGATTCTTAAGAACCTAGGATCTTCATATATCTACAAAGAAAACTCGACGGTATGAGAAGAGGGAGATTCCCTTTATCCAGGGCATGCAGAAGACCTACAGATTTCTCTACAGAATTATTCCATTTATATCTTTGGTACTGTGTCTCTTTTAAGGCTCAAAGGACTAGAAAATCCTCACCTGAAAGGTGAGCCTACCGAAACAGGTGCATGGTATACTCAAAACTCTATAACGCATTACCTCTAGGCCGCTTTTGCTGCTGCGCATGCGTCACAATTGCCTTCTAGCTTGTTGCCTTTGGTTGAATCCCTTTCTTTGCTCTCCTTCGCCTCTTTCCCAGACTTCCGTTCGAACTTCCCGGTATGTCAGAACCCACCAATCACAAAAGTCCTTCTTCGGGCCACGCCCCTCCACCGCCCCCTCCAGAAACCCGAGTCGAATTTCGCGCACACCCCTCCTTACTTACGCACGCTGCGCACAGACGTCGTCTTCTGACGCTATTGTCGCCTCTGCGCCGACTCCTGCGGGGGCCGCTCCCGCCGACCGTTGAGCGGCCTGTCGAAGTCCCTCCCTCAGGACCTCCCCTTCTGTTAACCGTTCTTGCGGCGGCGACCCATGTTGGGGTTCGGGCTTCTGCGGTCGCCGCCGCTGCTGCTCCTGCTGCCGCAGCTTAGACTTGGAATCGCTGTTTCACGATCTCAGGCCGGAACCATGAACTTCGGCGGCAGCAGCAGTGCACGATGCTCCGTCTCGGCCGAGGGGAGCCCACAACAGTGCCTGCAGCTGTCCACGGTGCCGGGAGCCGACCCGCAGCGCAGCAACGAGCTGCTCCTGCTGGCGGCGGCGGCGGCGGGACCGGAATGGCGGGATCTCTCTGGGGACCGGGCGAAGGAGGGGCAGCCACCGCCCCCCCAGCATCACGTTCTCTATTTCCCCGGGGATGTGCAGGTAACCTGGGGCCTTCCTGGGCACCTGTTCCTTCCTCTCGTGCATACGCGAATTCCCTAGATTCTCCCCTATAGCTGGTGCCCGGTTTCTTGCCTCGTTTGAACTCAGCCACACATGGACTTACAAGGTAGCTCTTCCGTTAATACACGGAATCCAAAACCGCCCCTTCCACCTGATCCCCGGCCTCTGGTAGCCCCGGAGGGACGGTGTCTTCGGAGAGTTACGACCTCGGAAGAGCCCGTTGTCAGTCCAGCCTTCAAGGGAGTATAATTTGGGACAGGAGGAATGAGTTGAGACACAATGTATATTCATTCTATAACTTGGTTTCTCAGAGGAATGTGTGTGTGTGGCGGGGGAGACAGGAGACAGAGATAGCTTTTAAATTAACTTAGCACATAGTGTTCCACTGGCAGTAATTAAGAAGCAAGCAAGTAAACAAAAAAACCACTACAAAGGTATGACAACCCTCAATAACCCTAAGAAAGGGAGGGTGGGTGGAGAAAAGAGACAGCAATTGCTAAGCATGTCAGTATTTTGATGCTCACCTAATTCTGTACTTTTGGTTTTTGTGTGATTTTATCTTTATTTATTGTATAGCTGCAGGCAAAATACCGTGAATATGTTGTCCTGGAAAGCTGGGTCTCAATCTAGATCTTAACCTAGAACTGCGTTGTCTAATAGGGTAGCCATTAGCTGACAATTAAATACAATTAAAAACCCAATTCCTCAGTTGCAACAGCTGCATTTCAAGAGCTCAGTAGCAGCTAACAGAGTTCTATTGGATAGTGTTGGTGTAGACAGGTAAAGCTAGAATATGGCTAATGTGTTTCTTAGACCATGAAACAATATTGTTTTTGAAATTGCTTTAAAATGATATACCGACAAACTTTGCGCCCTAAATCAAATGATGATTAAGATGCCTGTAGTTTTTTTTCCCCTCTAGCCTTCAAAATAATGGACTGATCTAGTTGACTGCTAATAAACTGTGAAAAAACTAGTATTTAGATTTAAGAGAAAAAATTTAATTTACTAAATCGATGCCCTTTTGCTCAATTTGGGAAAACAGCATGACATTACTGATAGCGACTTCCAGATTGTGGACCAGCTACTGTGTACATCTGTAATGATGATGATGATGATGATAGCATGACAATTAACCTTTATCAAGCACCTATTAAGTGTTTTTAAAGTGTGCCAGCTAGAGTATACGTACAAGTCTTCATATGATGTGTAAAAAATGCTAAATACAGTTGGAATAATATCTCCTTTTGTTTTGACATCATCCATTTCTTTATGTAGCCTGAGATTCCATTAACTTTGAACAGTGATACACTGTTGATTTCTGCAGAGTATGAAGTGCTCTAAAAACCCAGGTCTTTTAGAGAAGCAATAGAGGGTAATGCATCAAAGGACTTTGAGGTCAAATTGGCGAGGTTTGAATCCTGATTCTGCACTTCTTAGCCATTAAATCTCTGGCTAATTGCAGCTACCTCAACTATAAAATATGAATAATTTATAGGATACAATAAGGATTAAATACGTGAATACCCAATGAGTTACAGTTCTTATCTTTCTGGCAACCTTTTTAATTATTGGGGGTGCCCCAGTGCTCAGTTCTTCAACTTTTCCTGTCTTCATATGAGGTAGAAAAAATGCTAAATTACTCTCTTAGTGATCTCTTTTAGTCTGTGGCTCTACATACAACCTGTACCTGGACAGTCTTCAACATTTGTGTATCTAAGCCTAGACATATTCCCCAAATTTTAGACTTAACAATTGTATGAAAATATTTCATTTGGATATTTAAGAGATATCAAACCTAAAATTTCTGGGTCTTTGCCCTAAACCTGTTCTTCCTGTAGTCTTCCTCATCATAGTTAAATGGAAACATCCTTTTTAGTTGCTCGTTAGAAATCTTGAAGTTATCGTTTAGTCTTCTCTTTCACATCTCATTTTGTAATCCATCAGCAAATAAAGTGGCTTCACCTTCTTAATACATCTAAAGTGATCAGAATAATCATTTTAAAATGTAAGTCAAATCATCCCACACCTTTCTGCTCAGAACTCTCCCCTAGCTGCCCGTATCACTCAGAGTAAAAGCCAGTGACCTTTTGATGGCCTGCAAGGCCCTTCACTGTCTTTACTTTTCTCCACCTTATTGTTGCTTTTCTGACTGTCTCCTTTTTCTGTTTTGCTCTGTTCCATCCATACCAGCCTTCTTCAAATTGCCTATGGTAGGCACACTTCACCTCAAAAGCTTTGAACATACTGTCAGGAGCAGTCTTTCTGCAGATATCTGTAGGATTCAATACCTCACCTGTTTCAAGTCTTTGCTCAAAAGTTGCTTTCACAGTGAGGCCTTTTCTGACTATCCTATTTAATAATCAGTTGTATGTACAGGATCCCTGTCAACTTTTGTATTTTTGTCCATTTCATTTACTATATTATTCATTTTGGTTTTTGTCTTTCACCACTACAATGTAAGCTTCGTGACTCTTCTTCACTGATGAATCTATGATGCTTAGTGACTAGCATGTAGTAGGTGTTCATTAGATAACTTGTTGAATGAACGAACGAATGTAAGTTGCTTTGAACAATGCATGAAGTGTTTGATAAGTCTTGACTATTATTATATGAAATGCTTTTAGGCTCAGATTCCTCATCCATATCTTTGTACTTGATTCTTTGAGCTTTATGTTTATCGTTATAAAATTTGCCCTCTTAGATACAGCTCATCTTTTTATTGATCCTTTTAGAACTGTTATTTCAGTTTGTATCATATTATAGATTAAATAAGCATTCTTTCTATATCTTTATTCTTAATTTGGATCAGTATTGAACAGAATAGGGTCAAAAAGAACTTTCTAAGGTATCATTAGAAGCTTTGCCTTATCTTAACACAGATTCATTATTTGGTATTAATTGGATCTGGCTGTCCATGTAATTTAAATCCTAATTATCATTACTTTCTTGATTGTTTATGTCATCCTGTTTTGATCCTTCTAGCTTGCTTACTTGGGATGTCCACTTTATGCTCAGCAAAGATGCCTCCTTGCCCCATTTTTGATGGAAGTACAGTTTGTACCCAATATTGTTCTTCTCACTTGGCTTAAGAGTAGTCCACCTAGCTTAAATCTTTATCATGAATGTCTACAAACTCTTGAAGACATGTCAAGTTTTCCTAAAAATCCTCTCCTTTACTTCACTAGCAGTATGGGGTGGGCCTGTAAGTTTTGCAGGTTCACAGGCATCTGCCTGTGGAGTAAGCATCCCCTAATCTCTCCAACAGATTCTTTCCACCTTCCTTACTGGGGATGAGGAGAACCATGCCCCCTACCCTTTACCCCTACAAGGAGAATAAGTGCATTGCATTCCCAATTGGGATGAAAACTCAAAAGAAAATCTCTCTTCCCACAGTCTCTAGCCTTTTCTGTAGATGGGTCAGGGTCATAGCCTGGATTGTAGAACCAGTTTGGGTTATAAGCAAGTCCTATGAGAATGTGTGATGTCTTTTTTTTTCAAATGTGCTTATCCATTGTTCTCAGATCTGGGCTTTGACACAACAGTGCGAATCCCATTTTTACATTTTAGTACACACAGTTCCTTAGTACAAACATTTCCCCCCTCTGATAATGGAGGAAATCAAAGAAAACACCAAGTTTTTAGATTGATCACTTTATGTAGTAGAGGCTAAACTGAGAATCATAGAATCTTGAGTTAATTTTTGGCTTATTAACTCAATAACGATATAATATAAATAACTATAGTTTCTAGGACCTCAGTTTCCTTAGCTATAAAAAGGATTTAGAGGGCGGGCAGAGAGGTGCATTGGTTAAGAGTTAGTTGGCTTGGGATGCCAGCTCTGAGCAGCAGGGCCCCGGTTCGGGTTCCACATGTGGGGCCAGTGACGCTGCACCCTCTACAGCTAAGATGGTGACCAACAGCTCGACCTGGAGCTGGGCTGCCTTGAGTAGACGGCGACGGTGTAGGCTGAAGTGGGGCTGGCCGGCAGCGGGTGTGCGCTTTCATGAGCTTCTGTGAGCCGCTGTGAGCGGCCAACAAATGGCCCGCGAGCGACTGCCTCACCCAGGAAGAACACAATGATAACACCAACATGGGCCAGTGAAGCGACGTCCTCCACAACTAGACTGAAGAACAAAAAGGACAGCAACTTGTCTGTTCCCTTTCCCTGATTGCGCAGCACTGTTTCCCTCCCCCAAATCCCCAATAAAAAAACTTTAAAAAAAAAGGATTTAGATGAGCCCTTTCAGATATAATGTCCTATGATAATTTTAATAATTATATCACAAATATAGATGTGAAGAAGGCAATAGCATAATCCATAAAAAGTTAAATAGTAGCCTTTTAACATATGATAAACTATTAATATTAATGAGATACCAACTGTTAAGTACTTTGAGCATCCTATTGGGAAAATTATCAAAGGACATGAAAAGAGTTAACAAAAGAAAATGAAAATTGCCAATGACCATAGAAAAATATTCAACCTGATAAGGAATCAAAACATACAAATAAATCAAAAGTGAGACGTTTTATCATAGTAGCAAAAATGTTTTAAAAATGCTAATAGCCAATGTGAGCCAGGATGTGGGAAAATAAGCACTCTTGTATACTTCCAGTGGAAATATAAATTGATACTAATCTTTCTGATGGGAAGTCTAAAAATTATGATGCAGATTAAATTTACTGATATGGAATCATGCCTCTGATAAGTGAAAACTATGTTTAAGCTTGGTGAGGGAAAAATAAAGAATGCTGTCTTACATACATACTCTGTATGTATGAGTGTGTATACTAAAGAAAACTGGAATCTAGACACCAAAATTTTAATAATGGTTTTCTAATTGGTGGTGGTGTGGAGGATTTTTCTATCTTACACCTTTATATATAGACTGAATTTTTGTAGTATTTTATTAATTTTAATTTTTAAATAGAAAAAAATGTCCATTTTGCTACAAATTTAGTTTAAGGTTGTACTTTGAAAAGTAAGTCTTTTCATCCCATGTCCTCTAGTCTCCCATTTCCTTTCCCCAAGGCTATCACTGTTACCGATTTATACGTCCTTGCAGAAACATTCAATGTTGATATAAGCTTTCTAAAAAGGACAAGCGGTAGTGTAGCCTTCAGAGGTTATTTAGCCCTTATTTTACAACCCATATGAGTTCTCATAGAGCTGCTTCATTCTTTTGAAGCAGAAATAAATACACATATTTACGCATGTACACAAGTATATCCCTGAAATAAATTCCTAGAAGTGGAATTACTAAGTCAGGAAGGAGGTGATTTAAAACTTTGGTGTATAGAGTATATGACTATTAGAAATAAGGAAAAATTACTCCATTTCTCTTTCCCTCACACTATATCCAATCCATCAGCAAATGCTGTTTACCTTCAAAATAGGCAGAATCTGACCACTTCTTACCACCTTAGCGACTACCACCACTCTGGTTCAAGCCACCTTCTCATTAGGATTATACTCAAGTAGCCTCCGCTTTAACTGTTGTCCCTTCACACATAGTATACTAATCCTTTCAAAACATAGGTTATATCAGCCCTCTCCACCAAACCCTATCAGAGTAAAAGCCAAAGTCCTCACGAAGTCTCACAAGGCATGATCAGCTGGACCCTCCTCTCCAGCAACCTCTCTGCCCTTCTCGGTGATGACTTTTGCTCCTGTTCACTCCACTGGAGCTCCTCTGGCCTTATCACTGTACCTGGGTTCTGCCAACCATGCCTCCACTTAAGGGCCTTTTGCAGTCCAGTTTCTTAAGCCTGAAATACCGTGATTCATTCACTCAACTCCTTCAGGTCCTTCTCAACTACCGCCTTATTGGAGACCACCCTGTGTTTTAAATAACGATCGCCCACCCTCTCCAAAACCTTACACTCCTTTTCCCCTGCTCGTTTATTATACTCCATTGCACTTACCACCATCTAATGTTTTGTGTTGTCTAGCCACTAGCCTGTTGTGGCTATTGACCACTTGAAATGTTAGTCAAATCAAGAAACTAAATTTTTAATTGTATGTAACATTAAATTTAAATCTAAAAAGAACCTCAGGTCTGTCCCTGGAAAAGTTTTAAGTATATTTGAACAACTTGGTATATGAATCTACTTTTTCAGCTGTTAAATTTTATGAAATCTAAATTCAGATTAAGTATTTCTGATGAAAAATTAGCATCCAAATTGAGATATGTAAGTGTAAAATACACAGTGGATTTCAAAGACTTAGTAAGAAAAATAAATGTAATTTCTCAGTAGTTTTTTATATGGTTTACATGTTGAAATGATATTTTGGATATATGGGGCTCAGTAAAATGTATTATTAAAAATAATTTTCACCTGTTAACTTTCTTAACGTAGTTACTAGAAAATTGTATGTGTAGCTCATGTTATATTTCTGTTGGACAGTGTTGCTCTACTTACTAATTGAGTTGTTTGTTGTGTACCTCTGCCCTTAGAGCTCCATGTGGGCAACAGTTTAGTCTGTTCTGATCCACACCCAATCAGTAGGTATCCAATACATTTCATGCAACAAATAAATTTGAATGAATTTCTTTTTTAAAAAAGCTACAATTAAAAACTAAAAGGAAAATAAAATTTACATGCATGTCCCAGAACCTAAACAAAAAGATATTAATACATATAGAATACAGAATGGCTAATAAATATATGAACAAAATTTCGACTTCAAATTTTCAATAAATCTAAACTAGAATATCATTCCTGTGCCTATGAAATTTAACAAAGATAAAAGAAAAGTTATACATACTTCACTAGAAGATAGTATTGTAGTCTGTATAACCAACCTTAAATTATGAATATTCTTTCACCTAGTTTTTCCATATCTAGGAATTTATTTTTAAGGATGTAATCACAGATGTATAAAAAGATTTTTCTGTGATGTTCATTGAAGCTTTGTTTGTAAAATGAAAATTAAAATCAAACATAGCATTCAGGTTGCTAGAGTAATCCAAAGAGGGGTTCAGGATAGCAGCTTTAATAAGAAAATATTTTAAAATTCTGTGGTCAAAAAGTCTAATAATGCAAATTTCTATGTTGTTAATGTGTCATGAATAGACTGAATCTACACTAAATAAAATTTATTAAAATGTGTATAATCCTTCTAAAGTAAGTGTTTTATTATTTAAATTCCTATGTTACTTAACTATATCTTATAACCGGTTTTTGATGAATTTGAGGCCTAAACTGAAGATGTGATTTGTCCAAAATCTTATAACCAGAAAATAATGGCGGATTTATAGTTTCACTTATATTAACCATGGGTCATAATATCCCAACTTCCTCCACAATGGGAAAATGGAAACTATTTTGTGGAAATAGTTCTATATAAATGTGTATTTAATGTTTGTTTCATCTTTCTTACCTTTCAGAATTATCATGAAATTATGACTCGTCATCCTGAAAATTATCAATGGGAAAACTGGAGTCTAGAAAATGTTGCCACCATTTTAGCCCACCGGTTCCCCAATAGTTATATTTGGGTGATCAAGTGTTCCCGAATGCATTTGCACAAATTCAGCTGCTATGATAATTTTGTGAAAAGTAATATGTTTGGTGCTCCAGAACACAATACTGACTTTGGAGCTTTTAAGCACCTTTATATGTTATTAGTTAATGCTTTTAACTTAAGTCAGAACAGTTTGCTATCAAAGAAGAATGTGAAAGATTTGAATAAGGACTCCAAAGCATCTAATTATAGATCCAGTTCTTCTCATACTACCAATGGCTGCCAGGGAGAAAAAGAAAGGACCGGTGAAAACTTTGATGAGTCTGCCATGAGTTTTTATCCACCATCACTAAATAGTGCTTCTTTTACTTTAATTGGATTCAGTAAAGGTTGTGTTGTTTTGAATCAGTTGCTTTTTGAATTGAAAGAAGCTAAGAAAGACAAGAACATAGATGCTTTTATCAAAAGCATAAGAACAATGTACTGGCTGGATGGCGGTCATTCTGGAGGAAGCAATACTTGGATTACTTATCCAGAAGTCTTGAAAGAATTTGCACAAACAGGGATTATTGTTCACACCCATGTAACACCTTACCAAGTACGTGATCCAATGAGATCTTGGATTGGAAAGGAGCACAAGAAATTTGTTCAGATACTTGGAGATTTTGGTGTGCAGGTGACTAGCCAAATCCATTTTGCAAAGGAAGCTCCTTCTATAGAGAATCACTTCAGGGTTCATGAAGTATTTTAAGACTACCAGAATATTCATGTACTTGTTAAGTGGAAGAGCAGAAGCACTTTTTTGTGGGGAGCACACATTCCTAAAATATGAGTGTAATGTGCAATCAAATTCTTTGCTTGTGAATGTGAACAGTTTTTAATTTGGACTGGGTTAGAATTAGTTAATTTGAAATCTGAAAGGTGGTTTGTGATAATCCTAAGATATAAGACCCTTTAGAATGAGTTACAATATAATCCTTATAAAACATAATTAAAATTGCTATTGTTGGAAATAGTTTATTTTTTGAGTAATGTTTAAAACTAATTTTGGTGGCACTATAACAATAATTAGCTAATTTGGCACTGAAAACTTGAGTAGAAACACTTCATTTCTCTTCAAAACAAAGGAAAGGCACACTGATGTTTTCCATCATTTTGGAAATAACTGTGCCCTGCTGTTATGTTTTATAAATTCATGGAATCTTTTTTTAATGTTCGACCAAGTGTTTTTTTTCGAGAGTCAAAATACATAGATGTTTCCAGATAACCAAGAACGTGCAGTAGTGTAACGTTGGTTTTTAAAAACATTACACTTAAGCACTGTGGCTAAATTTTTAATTGACAACTTTTGGCTAAGGCATTTTGGAGTTTCTTGAATCTTGGCCAAAAACCAGTTCTTTTGGGAAAATTGTTTTAAACGGAACATAATTATGTATATTAATTACAAATATATTACAGATTTAAAATATTTTCATATCAGTCTTGAAAGATCAACTTAGGCAAAATAAATATATAATACTGTTTGTTAGTGCTCTATAGACAAGGGGACAAGAGTCTATAGATCTAAGTCAGTGTGTCTCCAGAAGCATGGTTTTTGTCTGCCAAAAGAAAGCAGCTCTTTTTGGCCAAAATGCAAAATTACATTGCTATAAGAAAAGTTATAAGGGAAAGTTTGAAGACACAAATGATTTAATTTTGGCTCAAAAACTGAATTTGCTTAACACTGCTACAGAATTTGGGTGAGGTTTCCTTCTGCCTGTTTTTCTTGTCCTAGATAAATACATTTTCAGAAACCAATATCTAATGTCAACCAACATTGAAATATAACTGTGTGATTACAATAAAAGGTGAGTGGTCACTTTTTTATTGTTTATAATTAGCTTTTGCAGGACATGAAATAAAGCATGGCAGTAACATGCTGCTTTCAGATTGAAAAAAAAAAAAAAAGACTGAAGCTTAATATCTTAATAACCCACAGGACCTAAATTCTTAAAACAATATAGAATTAAAATGTTTTTTTCCCTAGAATTATATTTTAATGACTCTATAAATACATTCCAAGTATTCAGATTTATGAGAAATGATTCTTACCAAATGCTTAAAAATAACCCCTTAATTCTATAGTGTCTCTCAATTTTTTTTTAAATGACAATATAGTCTTATATTGATTGCTTCAGTTTCTTTACCTGTTGTTTCTTTTGAGACCAAAGATTCCCAACAAGGAAACCAGCCTGATTCCAATATTACCTTGTCTTAAATTAGCACCATGATTGATTGAATGGCTTTCAATATGTTTAGTAATCCTTGGTTAAATTCATGTGTATCTAATGTAAAACAGCTAAGTTACTGAATGCTCTAATGATGGGGGAAGGAAAGGCATTTGTTTTTACAGGATTAACTAAAATGGAAAAAGTAGGACTTTCAGCAGGATTCATTAAAAAATCTGAGATATGAAAAATCTGGGTTCTTGAGCGAGCTAGTCATGGGAATGCTTAATTGTAATTGTTATATTGAATATTAAAAATGAATGGATATTAAAAATAACTCACTAGACACCTGGAACTGCCACTGCATGAAAATGAGACTGTTGAAAAGTAGAGTATTTCTTGAATGAAAATATATTCAAGTTGACCCACAAATATTTTAATAAACCTCAAATTTGTTTTTTCTCCCCATTTGTCTAAAACTATTGTAAATGTGAGTATATCCTTTTGGATTGTGCCTTTGTGTTTGTGTCATGAGTCGCCTGAGAAAAGTAGTCATACATACAAATAATGTGCAAGTTACTGCCACAGCATGAATGTACGATTGTATTAAATTTAATCTACAGAAGTCTGTCTGGATGTGCTTTATGTGATTAGATTTGTGTTCAAACTTCAGATCATCATTTGGAAGGAAGCTGTTTCTCTCCACTTTGCCATTTTGGGTTTGTATATGTTTTCATTACCCCCATGTTTTTTTCAAATGAGCAACTCTGAAACTTGCCTATAAAAATACATATCTGCTTTATATTCTTCACAAAAATTTACATTATTTCCATTTCTTCTGTTGGATTTCTTGAGAACAAATGGCTCAAAAATAAGTTCTTTTCAGTGCTTATCATCTCAGGTATATGTATTCATTGAGCTCTCCTTAAGACACTTGGTTAGAATATGGTGTGATCTGTTTTTCATTTCATTTGTGTAATATCTAAGCACCCACCAAGAACAAGGAAGGTCTGGACGCCAAGGATATAGTACAGACAAAACTGTCAGCATGTGGGTGTAGAAATGTGTAAGACTTAAGAGGTAAAATATGAAACAAAAGGTGGTATTCTTAAAAGAGCTGTTGTGTAAGAGCCTTGAAGAGAAACATGCTTTAGAGCAGCGGTTCTCAACCTGTACGTCGCGACCCCTTTGGGGGTCGAATGACCCTTTCACAGGGGTCGCCTAAGACCATCGGAAAACAAAAAGATATTTACATTACGATTCATAACAGTAGCAAAATTACAGTTATAGCGTAGTAACGAAAATAATTTTATGGTTGGGGGGGGTCACCACAACATGAGGAACTGTATTAAGGGGTTGCCGCATTAGGAAGGTTGAGAACCATTGCTTTAGAGGGTAAGATATACATGTACCGTATTTCCCCATGTATAAGATGCACCCTTCAAAAATTTGGGGTCTATAAACTGAGTGCGTCTTATACAGTGGTTGTAGGGTTTTTTTACTTGTATTTCCCACTTTTTTCGCACTTGTTTTTGGGCGAAAAACAACCACTGTATAAGACACACTGTTTTTAGACCCCAAATTTTTTGACAAAGGGTGCATTCTCATACATGGGGAAATACGGTAGATAGATCTCATTTGTAAATTCTGGTTGCTCTTCACAAAGAGGCCTAGTAGCTATAAGTTAGTGGTAGAGAGAGGCACTTAGATGGTCATTTCAATATTCCATTTAATGGAACTTTAAAACATAGAATACAACTAAGGTGTATTTAAGACATCCAAACACTCATGTCCTGTATGCTTGAAATAAGTCTTTAAGGTAACACCAGATATGTGGGTGACTGCCAATCTGTTAGTTCCTCCTGACTGCATCTCTTTTTCAGCACTGGGGGAAGGAGTCACAGCAGCACAGTTCCAACTCCATCCAGACCTACACTCCAGCTTGCTGCATTTTTTTTTTTGGTCAACTTCTTAAATTCAGCTTAGATTTCTACTGGCAGCTTTAGATAGGTGAGAGAAATGCCTTGTTACTAAGGTTCTTTCCAAATGTTCACATAGCTGCTGTTCAAACAATGGAAAGATGGGAAATAAGCCTTCTTGACTTTCTCTTGTTTTGATATTTCATGGAAGTGACAGTGTGAAATTAATATCAATAAATAACAGTATTTGTCTTGGTAATTATGCACTAAGACAAATACTGCTAATGTTCATGAAAAGCTAATATCCACATATATTTTTAAAATTCATTTTGTAAGAATATATACAGGGGCAAAATTCAAATACTACACCACTGCAGATTCCAGTCCTCCCACCTACTGAGTGACCTCTTAGGGGAAGTCACCATCATGGATTTCTAATGTCTCCTTGGTGATAATTCTGTTTGGGCAATTATGTTTACTTACAGCATATCTTTGTTTTATACAAATAGTATATACCATACCCGTAGCTTCAAACTTTTTCCTCATTTAATTATCTTCAAAAATTCGTTGTCAGTACATATATGTCTGTCTCATTCTATGACTGCACAATATTCCATTTTTATATTACACTCTGCTGTCTACCTGTTCATCATTAGTCTTACCTTGTCTGTGTAGCAAGCAGTACAGTGAGAAGTTTCCCTGGCAGAGGAAAACTATTCCTTTGAGGGTAAGGTCAAGCCCCCAAACTGTAGCCAAAGAATAACTATATAATATATTCAGAAGTATCTGAGATCAGCTATGCCTAAAGGAAAAAGAACGGAGAATTACTAATCTGGTCACAACAGTAATTCCAGTTTCTATCACCCAGCTGTGTGAGCCCAGACAATTGTTTCAGCAATCTGGATTGATTAGTGATTTCTAAGATCCAGTTCAGCAACAAAAGTCTAAGATTTGGAATTCCTGAGAAGTTACAGCTAACAAATACTGTGTAATACACATTTAAAAACACATCTCATTTGGACTCAACCAGATAGGCAAAAGAGACTAAAATGACACCAACAATTAACAATTATGACCAGGGAAATAATTTTAAAACTTCCCAAAGTGTTCGTCTCAAGGTTTCTAGATGTCATAATTTACCTCAACTCTCTCAGCAAATAAGGAATATAAGCGGTAGTTAGTACCAGCCATCAGTCATGTGCCTGCCCTTGAACTACCTCCTCGTACTTTTGTAGCAACCCTAGAAAGTATTATATGTTAGTTCTATTTTAAAGGTGAAGAAAATAAGCTCCATAAAGATTTAACTTGCCCAAGGTTATTCAGTTTGCTTACCAAATAAACAATTAAAATGAATATTTATTGAGCAAGCTGAAATCTCAGTTTTACTTCCAAGTTTTCTATATGGCTCTGGATATATCCTTTGTACTGATTGTCTTACTGGTTTAAAAAAAAAAAAAAAAGGCAAAACCAAGGAGGGTTTATTAAAAAGCTGACTATAAATACTGTTCAAACTAACAGGGGTTTTCTTTTTTCTTTTTCTTCCCAAAGGATAAGGAATCATTTAAACAGTTATTTGCTTAACCTAAGTAACCAAATATCAAAATCTAGTCATTATATCTGGCTAATACAACAATTCCTTTTCTGACAGACTCTGTTCAACTTGTGTTGACCTGAGTAAATTCAGTATCTTCTCAAAGCTGCGTAGGAAGTTTAGAAAAATTTTTATATACTTTTCCTTTCTTATTGTAATTTGCTTTTTATACCTGAAATTAATCCAACTCCAAACACAGGATATGAATGCATTATTTTTGATAAAATTATTTTCTAATTGATATGCTCGGATCTCTTTAGATGGGCACATTTGTGTTCAGTAAATATATTTCATCTTCAATGACAGTACAAATAATTACTAGGTCCAAAACAAAGAAGGCACAGATCCACATACAATGGCTCATTGTTTTCAATGACAACATTATTGGGATCTCTCATGTATTTATTCTTAAAGTTTTTTTTAATAGGCGGAAAGGCATTTAGTGGAGAAAACTTTAATTAGGTTAAATTTTAGCTGTAGGTATAAAACTGATTTGAATATTTTCTGACATTCAAAAACTGAAAAAGGGGGCAGGCCTGACTTATGCTGGGTGCCAAGAAAAACCAGGATCAGATTAAACATTGTTTTGGATGGATAACAAAACTAGTCATCCAAATTACTATCATCTAATCCAATTGTTCTCAATCCTGACTATGCATCAAAACAACCTATGAAGTCTATTAAATATAGATACTTATACCAAACCCCAAACATACTGAATCAAAGTCCGTAAAGTTGGAAGCTAGGCATGTTTTTAAAAGCTCGAAAGATCACAGTAGTAGACATTGTTGGTTGCCCATCTTTTTTTCCTTAACAGAATCCTGATTTTAAAAATTATCCTTTCTGCCCCCATATATACCTCATGTACCTCAGAGGAAGAGGATTCTACTTCCAGCTCCAGTAGACCCAATGGGCCTAAGGTTTATTCCATATATACCTTTTGCCAGTGACTGGGTCAGGGATGGACAGTTCTAAGCCAAATCAATGAGACCCAAGAGTTTGGTGGCAAATTTTGGGAAAGCTTTCTTGTATTAAGAGAGGGCTCCTGGAATCCAGCCTGACTCCTCCACTGCATGTAAATGAAGGTGCACACGGCCCCAACTGCTACTGGCAATCATTCCACGACCACGAGGCGAGCCAGCCTTAGGATGATGCCAACGCTACAGTTGAAAATGAGAGAAAAAAAGCCCCAGAGGTTCTTAATGACACTATTAAGTTACTGGATCAGAA